AGGTTAAATATTAAAAACATGTTCCCTTCTTCTTGATATTATGAAGGACCTTCGTTCCAGGTTAAATATTAAAAACATGTTCCCTTCTTCTTGATATTATGAAGGACCTTCGTTCCAGGTTAAATATTAAAAACATGTTCCCTTCTTCTTGATATTATGAAGGACCTTCGTTCCAGGTTAAATATTAAAAACACGTTCCCTTCATCTTGATATTGTGAAGGACCTTCGTTCCAGGTTAAATATTAAAAACATGTTCCCTACTCCTTGATACTATGAAGGACCTTCGTTCCAGGTTAAATATTAAAAACACGTTCCCTTCATCTTGATATTGTGAAGGACCTTCGTTCCAGGTTAAATATTAAAAACACGTTCCCTTCATCTTGATATTGTGAAGGACCTTCGTTCCAGGTTAAATATTTAGGGAACATGTTTTTCATGTTTTTAATATTTAACCTGGAACGAAGGTCCTTCATAATATCAAGGAGTTCCCTTCTTCTTGATATTGTGAAGGACCTTCGTTCCAGGTTAAATATTAAAAACATGTTCCCTACTACTTGATATTATGAAGGACCTTCGTTCCAGGTTAAATATTAAAAACATGTTCCCTTCTTCTTGACATTATGAAGGACCTTCGTTCCAGGTTAAATGTTAAAAACACGTTCCCTACTTCTTGATACTATGAAGGACCTTCGTTCCAGGTTTAACCAATTTAATATATAATTTTATATCATCACAATTCTTCAAGCTGTTTCTTTAAATATTATAGGCTTCAGAACTGCTGAATTAAAATGATTTTTTTTTTAAATAATTGTAATTTACAAATAAAAACTTAAATTGGTCAAATTAACTTGCAATTTTCGTTTTTACCAATTTTTGTAGTTTTTCATGTTACACTTACGCAGGTATAACAAATCGTCATAGCACCGAACGAACGACATTCGTCCTAGGTTTGTAGCAAGGACTTATCGAAGAAGTCGCCGACGATAATTTGTAAAATGCTGCACTCGTCTGATCTTCTTGGAACTCGGGATCGTGAAAACGTTCTATTGAATATGACAAATATGTCCCACAAGCCTGAATTAGAGGAATCTTTGGAAAATAGGAGCTCAGTGATCCCAAACAATGCTATATTCTTCATCAATCCAGAAGAAATGTTGTACCCTTGGGCCAATAATCCTTATTTTTTTTACATCATCGCCACCTATGTCATTACATTTATGATCGGGGCGACCGGAAACATCATCGTTATTGCTGTAATGATCGGTGACCGCACATCCCGAAATGTAACCAACATTTTCCTCGTCAGTTTGGCCGTTGCTGACCTCCTTCTGCTCGTTATTTGCGCCCCTCTCGATGTCACCCATTACCTAGTCATGCAGTGGGACCAGGAAGGGACTGTCTGTAAAATCGCTGCCTATGCTGAACAACTTTCGGCTTTTGCGTCCATTCTCAACCTTGTCGCCGTAACTTTGGAAAGGTATATTTCTTTTTTGTTTCATTTGTAATTAAAATGTCATCTATTAAATGACCACACAAAATTCCTTTATAACTGAAATTTCATTTTCCATTCAACAAACTATGTGTGGCTATGTTCATATGTATCAAAACACATTTGCACTGAAACGCTTGTCGCTTTTGTTTGGAGTTGAGCATAAAGCTACACAATGGGCTATTTGTGCCGTGCTCATCATGGGTATCGAAACTTAAATTTTAGCGTAATAAACTTCCAGACTAGCCGCTGAGTCGCCGAGGGTGTGTTTATTGATATGTTTCTTTAAAATAAATGTGAATAACTTGTTGTGTGAAGAGGAATTCCACTATACACTTTAAATAAAAGTCCAGAGATACAGATTTTATTTTTATTACTTCTTTAACTTTATTACAACGTTTCGACCACTCATCGTCAGGTAACAACTCTGTGTACGAAACGTTTTCAGTTTATTGAGACATATTATGTATCTTTTGATCAAAGTAGATGCTAAACTCGTATAACGGCTATCAGAACCGTATAGTTACGTTGTGATAAAGTTAAAACAAAAATAAACAATCTATTCAAACGTTGTATGTTTGAACTGATATTTAAAATGTGAATAAGTAGGCTACATAAACAATGAATGTCGTGTTCACGAAATAATTGTGGCCTCCTGTAAATTCATTTTGATAACGCTAGAGTGTAGATAAAGACATCTGTGAAAATGAAACTAAATGAATCCGAGTTTCAAATGGACAGCAACTGCCTGTTGTAGAAACCTACAAATGTAGAGGATGACGTTTCGAAAGTATTCCGCCTTTCGTCTTCAGGTCAGTGTGTGTGTGTGTAGTGTCGTTTGGTCTTTATAGTGTTCTATTCATAGTGTTATGAAAAACTCAAACAAAAAGCTAAGAAATTCAACATAGACGTCCGGTGGAAATCTTACAAAACACTAAGATCCATTCTGGTGAAGAACAAACAGAAACCTACCAACAAAAAAAAAAACAGAAAAACGTCATTTATGAAATTTCGTGTTCATGCAACAAAACATACATTGGAGAAACGGGAAGAAGACTCGCGACAAGAATAAAGGAACATAAAGACAGCACAAGACTCATGAAAACACAAAATTCAGCCATTGCTGAACACGCACATGTCAACTGGACACGACATAAACTGGGAAAAAGCTAGAATCATCGATACAGACAAATTTTGGAAGACAAGAAAAATTAAAGAATCGTTTTACATTAACATAATAAAACCTTCACTAAATAGAAATTCGGGATTAGAGGTGAGTAAACTGTGGCTACTATTGATTGAGGCTACAGGAAATCTCTCCTCCAATTAGAAACGTGTTTTAACCAACCAATCTTAACACGCTCTCCACAGTCCACTAGAACACTATAAAGACCAAACCACACCACACACACACACACACTGACCTGAAGACGAAAGGCGGAATACTTTCGAAACGTCATCCTCTACATTTGTAGGTTCTACAACAGGCAGTTGCTGTCCATTTGAAACTTAGATTCATTATTAATACTCTGCCTAAACAACCAATCACATATTAGGAAACAAAATGTCATTGATATGTTTTAATAAACCATATTGACCAGGCGTGGCCAGTTGGCTAGGGTGTTTGACTCCCAATTTCAGGGATTCGCGGGTTCGAATCCCTGTCCCACCAATCATGCTCACCCTTTCAGCCGTGGGGGCGTTAAAATGTGACGGTTAATCCCACTATTCGTTGATAAAAGAGTAGCCCAAGAGTTGGCGGTGGGTGGTAATGACTAGCTGCCTTCCCTCTAGTCTTACACTGCTAAATTATGGACGGCTAGCGCAGATAGCCCTCGTGTAGTTTTGCGCGAAATTCATAACAAACAAACAATAAGCCATATTAAAGAAAAGCTTCCTATCTAGAAACGCATATTGTAATTAATATAGCTATATATATATATAAAGGATGTGTGTTATATATAAATAACAATAATAGTGTATGTTTTATAAGTCAGAGTTCTATATTACTAGAATGTTTGTATGAAAACTTTTCAGTTTATTAGAATTGTATTTAGCAGTTGAGGCACATCACGTGTCTTTGTATCAAAGTAGAGGCTAAACTCGTATAACGTCTATAAAACCGTATCGGTCCACTTTAATGGCTCGATATCATAACATAAAGGATGCTGTAAACAATTAACTTTAATTTATCCAGAAAATAAACTTATTGTAATGATTATACTCACACACGCACACACATAGATAACTGTTACTCTTATGACACGACGACAAAGGTGCGTGAAAATGTTACCTGTTGTCGTTCTTCTTATTAGTTTGCTAGTTTTAAAGTTAAGCACAAAGCTACAGAATGGCCTATCTGTGCTCTGCTCACTACAAACGGTAGATAACTGTTACTCTTATGACACGACGACAAAGGTGCGTGAAAATGTTACCTGTTGTCGTTCTTCTTATTAGTTTGCTGGTTTTAAAGTTAAGCACAAAGCTACAGAATGGCCTATCTGTGCTCTGCTCACTACAAACGGTAGATAACTGTTACCCTTATGACACGACGACAAAGGTGCGTGAAAATGTTACCTGTTGTCGTTCTTCTTATTAGTTTGCTAGTTTTAAAGTTAAGCACAAAGCGACACAATGGCCTATCTGTGCTCTGCTCACTACAAACGGTAGATAACTGTTACTCTTATGACACGACGACAAAGGTGCGTGAAAATGTTACCTGTTGTCGTTCTTCTTATTAGTTTGCTGGTTTTAAAGTTAAGCACAAAGCTACACAATGGCCTATCTGTGCTCTGCTCACTACAAACGGTTAAAAACATCCGATTACCTTTGTCGGTCTTATGCATTTCATGTTACATTTTACAACTGAACTATGAGTTAATATTTACCATCTTACAACGAGCCTGAATGTACGAACATTTGTGATTTAATTGTGATGAACATTTAAATATTAGCAATACTTCAAGTGTTGTTATTTTGTTCATTGATAAAAAAATACCTTTTCTGGAAAAAAATGAAAATTCGTTTTGATAACGCAAGAACGAACATAAAAATATCTGATGAATTTAAATAAAATGTTTTATAATCTTTAATTTTTAAATAATTTGTTATAAAACAGCTTCGAATCTAGAGAAACATATTTTGATAATTGTTGAGCGGTAAGTCTATGAAATCATAACGTTAAAGATTGGGTTTCGATACATTTGGCCGGCAGAGCACAGATAACCCATTGTGTAATTTTGTGCTTAACAGATAAAAACAGTTAGATAAATATTGGTATACAAAAAAAAAATTGTTTCGTGAAATTCGTTGTAAGTTTACACGACTGACACGTATTTACTGACATTATAATTTATCGTTCATCAACAAAATTCACCTAACAAAAATATCCTGAAATTTTTCGATGACATTGATTGCCATAATCTTTCTACCAGTCGACATAGGAATGAAGATATATTATTTGTAAATGATTTAAGAACAGCTATGTTATTATGTATTTCAATTGCACTCATGTATGATAACATTTACAGAAAAATTTGTTATCGATATTATAATCGTTAAGACGTAGATCAGCATTATTAAACCGATTTGATATATATCGAGGTACGGCGTTGATTAAATTCCAAGTTCTAAATCTTGTTTGTAGCTGCACACTATTCCTAGAATAGGCCATAGCAGACTTACAATCATATTCCACGATCTAATACTGACTGTTTGTACAACACGTTGTATGTAGATCTATAGATTTACAATCATATTCCATGTTCTATACTGACTGCTTGTACAACACGTTGTATATAGATCTACAGATTTACAATCATATTCCACGATCTATTACTGACTGCTTGTACAACACGTTGTATATAGATCTACAGATTTACAATCATATTCCACGATCTATACTGACTGCTTGTACAACACGTTGTATATAGATCTACAGATTTACAATCATATTCCACGATCTAATACTGACTGCTTGTACAACACGTTGTATATAGATCTACAGACTTACAATCATATTCCATGATCTATTACTGACTGTTTGTACAACACGTTGTATGTAGATCTACAGACTTACAATCATATTCCATGATTTATACAACGTGTTGTACAAGCAGTCAGTAATGTAGATCTACAGATTTACAATCATATTCCACGATCTAATACTGACTGCTTGTACAACACGTTGTATATAGATCTACAGACTTACAATCATATTCCATGATCTATTACTGACTGCTTGTACAACACGTTGTATATAGATCTACAGATTTACAATAATATTCCACGATCTAATAATGACTGTTTGTACAACACGTTGTATATAGGTCTACAGATTTACAATTATATTCTATGAAAGAAGTACGCATCGTCTTTATCTTTTCAAATTATTAAACCGTTCTAAAGGAAAATTTATATAAAATAAGTTAATATAGTTGTTCTTCTGGTACATTTATTTGATTCCCAGATGAAGAAACCCAATATTGAAAATTAATATGTATCACAAACAATTTGTTCTCGAGAAACACAATTCCATCGGATTCACGTTGAGAATCCTGTGCTCTATTTAGGAAAATTCGGTATCGTAAAGATTTTCTCAAAACCATATTTGAGGCCCCGGCATGGCCAGGTGGTTAGGGCGCCCGACTCGCAATCCCCGTCCCACCAAACATGCTCGCCCTTTTAGCCGTGGGGGCGTTATAATGTGACGGTCAATCCCACTATTCGTTGGTAAAAGAGTAGCCCAAGAGTTGGCGGTGGGTGGTGATGACTAGCTGCCTTCCCTCTAGTCTTACACTGCTAAATTAGGGACGGCTAGTGCAGATAGCCTTAGTGTAGCTTTGTGCGAAATTCAAAACAAACAAACAAATCATATTACACTGCAAACCTAAATCGCTTTTCTCGCAAACTAGCGTTGATTTTATTTTTCTCTCTCTCTTTCAACAATGCTATTTCGTTGATATGATTTAAATTAATTTTTAAGTGCA